GCGACTGACTGGCTCGAACGTTGTTCGTGAGTAAGGTTGGACGTCAGCGCGATGGCCATGCTACCCGAGAGGCCCTGTTGGGCGTCGACACCTCAGCGATCGAAGGGGGAGTAATAGTGCATTGCACAAGCTGCGTGCAGCAGGGCCGAAGCTACGTGGCGTGCCGAGGCGGTTCCACCTGCACAGCGGGGGGCGGAAATGTCCCTCCGAGGCCACAACGCCTATTGTCGCTTTTCCTCAGCCGGCCTCCGTAGAATGCCACGGTGAGTTAGGCGCGCTCGTTGGGCGGTTGGGTGAGAGCCGTGTAGCGTCCACAGTGCTGCACGCAGCTTGCGAAATGAACTACAGGTCACTGTTGTCCCGAAGTAGGGTAGATAGCGTGTGTGCAGGGCAAACTCCGTGCGGCGTAAAAATAAAGAGGTTGGTTATGTGGTTTTGGAATTCGGGGAGAAATCGGGTTTAATCCGTTTTTGTTGAAACATGTTCGGGGTGTAAAAATCGGGTAAAATCGGGTTTTACTCGAAAACGAACAACCCTAAGTATATTCCATGTAGGGGGATCGGTGGCTGAGTGGGCTAGCGCACACCAGCTCGGAGCACGTGGAGCAAAAGCTCGCGCTGCAGAACCCAGGGATCCTGCAGTTCAATCTCCACTCCTGCCCGTTTCGATCTGGATGAGCATCGTACCGGCGTGCGGTCGTGTATCACTACTGCGTGGTGCACGTTAAAGACCCCAGGCTAGCGATTGTACTGCACTGGCTGAATTGCTCATCTACAGCGAGTGACTCGTCGCAACTTTAAAATGGCTGGCCAACTACACGCTGTATAAACATCGACATAACCCCCAATTATTCTGTCCCATTTGTTGGAAACGTGCGCCTCCAAAAAAACGTCGCATGCAGTAGTTGGCTTTCCGCGCTTAGCCAGACGACGGGCATAAGAGCATTGTCGGAGTGGCAGCTTCAACCCTGTTGTTTTGGGAACGGGATGACTCGAAGCTTCAACCGTGTTTTTTTTGCACACAGCATCGAACGTGTGATTCGAAAGTAATGATAAGTAGCCATGAATCCTCGTGACGTACCGAATGGGAGCTGTTAGAGGGTGCCACTGCCACCGAAGCATATTGGGTTATAATGCCATTAATGCAAAGGTACCAGCGAGCTGGACAAGAATGAAAATAATAATCCCCGGAGAAGGACAAACACAGATCTCCAAACTCAACCAGGTGACTGGTGCTCTACCTAAACAAAAATCCGCCTGGTCGAGTTATCGAACCAGGGACCTCTCCATTACAAGTGGAGCGCTCTACCATCTGAGCTAACCAGGGGTTAGACGTCAGTAGAGCAAACGGGTTTTATCAGCTGCCACCGGTCTAATACCAAGAAGGGTGTTAGAATGGTGTCTTAACCTTAAAATGCAAGCCGTTCACCCTCGTTGGTGTTAGACTGCTGACAGTTGATAAAACCCGTTTGCGTGTAACACCTGGTTAGCTCAGTTGGTAGAGCGCTCCACTGGAAATGGAGATACCTAGCTGTGTTTGGAGATTTCTGTTTGTCCTTTGTTCCCCCTGCCTCTTCTCCGGGGATTATTATTTTTATTTGCATCTTGGGTGCCTATTCTTCGTTCGATGAAACGCGTTCCAAAGCCCAAAACCTGCTGCGTTGGGCATTCCAACGTGTTCCAACAGTGAGTGGACTCCAGGGTATATGATAGGCCGGTGGGGAAACGACCACTGAAATTTGCCGCAACGGTCCGACCGGATTGTGTTTTTCCTGGCGGCTTCTGCTCGGCACATACCTCCGCTTTACAATAGATGTCGCGGCGGCGTACGCAAGGCCAGACTCAGGTTTCTATGTAACTCTTCGAGGAAACACATTGTGTCAAAGATATTCTATAATTTTAAGTATGATTTACTAAATCTTGGCAAAATAAAATTACCGCGTAATTATATGTATTAACTTTTTTTTTCTTTTTACCTTTAATGCACGTTCCAAACCGCGTGAGCGGCTGGCAATGTGAAGTTGTCTGCGAAACGTGTGATGTATTGTCTGCTTCTTCGTTGTTTATTTCGCTCCCGTATGCGCCTGTAGCAGACGAATTTGGCGGTAGCAGACGAAATCTGCATTTGTCACCGCGTTCTGTTACGCCGCGTTCTGCCAGTGTTCTGTTCCGAACTTTCGGTCGGGTGACGGCCCGAAATAAGACAACAAAAACTGTGATATTTGACGCGGGCAATGTTGAGTACGGGTGACTCTGTCGTGCTGGGACTGCTGGGCACAGTGTGACCGTAGTGCAACGGCGTACCGCTGACTTTAAATCACGTCGAACTGAAACTTACTTGCTAGCACGTAAACAGCAGAAACTTGTAAGCTGGATCGCCGAACACACCGGCAGGCGGAGAGGAATCGACATCGTCGACGCTTTCATGACACGCCTCTGCTGACTTCTCAGCTCGCCTTTATTTTTCTCGCTACGCGCCCCCCTTGATCATTTTAACTCGTAATGTATAGAACAACAGGCAAAAGCAGAAGCTATGCGGTGAGCAAGTCGTCTGCTTCTTCGCGGGGGTTCTGATGATGTAAGAGCGACGAGCTCTTATTGGTTGATTGAAAAATTTTAGTGGGTAGACGTCAAGGCATCTAGCATTGAGGTCTACCCACTATTTTATTTCAATCAGCCAATCAGAGCTCAGCGTCGCTCTGACGTCACCGCAACTCCTACGCACGAGGCAGACGACTTCCTCTCCGCATATGTTAAATATATTATTAATTTGCTGGATTAAAGTTGCGTAGTCCATGCACAGCTTAGGAAATAATTCGCCAGTGAGTCGCGTTGCCTGCAAAAGGAACGAGAATATTTTGTTTTTCGTTTCCTCTTTGCGTGGCGCCATCTACGTTGAGTGTTATGAAGCGACACAACAATCGGGTCGCCTAATCGGCTCTCGTTTCTTAACCTGCCTATCTTACACCCTGGTAGTGGCAAGGGCAGCTAGCCTTACGTCACCAATCGTTCCAATCATAGATTGGCTCTCTGATGTCCCCATGCGCTCGCACCTTCTCCCTCAATTTCTCGTCGTATAGGAAGCTCGTACTGGCATTTGCTAATGCCAGAGTCCCACTAGAACGACAAGCGGAAACAGCCGACACCGACAAACCTCAAGCACGTGCGGCCTGCACGCGAAGGCACCTTTGACGGGCTTGAAATCACTCGTGCTTACTTCACCGGCACCGAGAAAGTGCAAGCTTGCCATAGCAACCTCCGCGAGCAAGCTGCACCTGCTCAAGGCTTGTCGGTGTCGGTCGTTTCTGTTTGTCGCTCAGTGGGACTTGGGTATAAGCGGTGCGACGTGGCGTGATTTTGCTTGCACGTGTTTCACGTTTCAGTTCCTTTTTTTTTTTTTTTTTTTTTTTAATAAGCGACGTACGCATCATCGCTCGCAAAATGCTTTACTTTTATAAATTCTACACTCCTTACTCTACTTCTCGGAGTAATTCCCTTCGATGATGAGGCATATCTCACGTCGTGGCAGGAAGCTTTGAACACGCTCCATCGATCGTAGGCTTTCCCCGACGGGAGTCTAGACCCAACGCCTTTAGCATTCCATCGTGAAAACAATTTGTGCTACTGAAGTGTTTGGGAACTGTATCGTGAATTAAAAGGGGGGGGGGGGGGGTTAAAAATTCAGGGACGCGTGTTACAAAGACCAGATGATATCAAGCGTCCTCCGTTCTCCAGAACCGTTTAGTTTACTCTTTTCACCAAATCGTCCGTGACCAGAAACGGCTGGCCCAAAAAATACGATATTAAAAAAAAGATATATATATATATATATATATAAACGAATAAATGCAAAAATGTTCCTCGAGTCGGTCTGCATCATTTTCGAACAGACTACCCCGACTTGATTAACAAAAAATAACAATTTACTCGGACGTTTCGTCTCCCTTACAGAAGACATCGTCGGTAGGAATCCGCGTTTTCGGTAAATACCGATGACGCCCCGAGAATTAACACCGCAGCCGGATTTATCGAAACAGGGGAAAACCGAAAAAACCGGAGTTGGAGCCTTCTTTCATTGAGAAAAACCCCGAGCTTCACCGAAGTCTTCTTCAAATCCGCGCATCTCGTTTCTCCTTCTTATCTGTACAGAGTCGTTTTCCAAATATTCGGGTCACACGTACGTTCTCTCGAGGTTGGAGGACCCCTTGCTCGAGTCTTATTTAAACTTAAGCCCCGAACACATTGACGCGTGCACAGAGGTGAAGCTCACGAAGATTCACACAGTCGCGTTGCATCCGCAGTGACCCGTCTAACGCTCAAGGCTAATTCGTGTTCATCTTGCCGAAGTGTACGAGGGCCTCGCTTAGTGCTATGTCAGACTGTCCTGTCCTCTCGTGGCTGCTACCTTCATGTCACTGCTTCTGTCACCTGTACGGCAGACGAGACGTCCGATTCAATAAATTACACATACACTTCGTCGAGGTAAAGATGCCATATCAAGCAGCGTCAGGAGCGCGATTCACTAGGCCTTATCTGTCTATCGTTGGTTCAGCGATAACAGCACACGTACTGAACACGACGAATACCACGATGGCGCGTTTTTGACGGTATCTAACTGGTTCCATCAGCTCGATGCGTCGGCTGCAGCTCGATCACGCTGACGAGGACCGGGCATCACACAATGTTTCGTGAATGATCTGGGTACATGCTACGTGTGTGTGTGTCGTTATGAGGCCACATGACTGTGACGTCACAGTCCTTTGTGACGATTCTTCGTGACGGTTTTCTCATAATATGGTTCTTAATCTGGCCATTGCGCGTTAATTGTTATCTATAGGTGAAGTGAACTCGGTGTAGTTTGTTTTATCGTGAACGATCTAAGCAAATAAAATATAGAAAGCGTGGACTCTTTGCTGCTGTTTATTTTGTGAGGAACGAGTGCAAGCACGCTCGAATGAGTGAATGAATAATCGAATGAACACGGGTCCGCGTCTGTTTCAGGTCCGGAGCCGGCATGGACGAGCGCTGGGAGTCCGCAACATCGACCAAGGCCACTCGGCTTTTCCCGGCGGTGCCTCAGCAGCAGCAGCTCCGAGACCCCAGTTCAGCGTTCTTCAGCCGCTGCTAGAGATCGCCCAGCAACCACGGTAAGCCTCGTCGAGGGAAACTCGTAACGCGACCGTGGACGCGAAGCGCAAAGGAACGCCTGGAACGCGTCTCCGGCTGGTGTGTTTAGTGTGCACGCCCTAAAAAAAGTGATCCCTCCTCCGTTTCAGCCGGATGACGCCATAGAAATGTCACGCTGTCGCCGGCCGCGATCCTGGCGGCGTCCCGACAGCGGTAATGGAAGTAGCAGGCGTCTGTTCTGCTCCCGGTCGCTCCCTATGGGGAGCGCAAGTTGGTCTGCTTCTTTTGCAGGGGTTGTGGTGACGTCGGAATGCCCAGCTCTGATTGGCTCTGATCGAAGGATGGTGGGTAGACCTCAAAGCAGCTTGCTTTGAGGTGTACCTAATATCTTTCAATCAGAGCCAATCAGAGCTCGGCGTATTTTTGACGTCAACGCAACTCGTGCGCAAGAAGCAGATGACTTTTTCTCCGTATGCTTGACAGTCCACGAAATCTTCGGCAGACAGAGCCAATCAGAGCTCGGCGGGTTGGGGCTGCACGCCGACAGCGACACTCGCGTTCGCTCGTACTTTACTGCAGGGACTTCTAACGCCAACCGCCAGGATCGCGACATCTGGCAACGTGACAACCCGATTTGTGTGACGTCATTTGTTGAGGACGCTAAACACAGCAGTCGAAACGCGTTCCTTGGGCGCGTTCGCCGCTTGGGACGGGGGTCGGGGATCCGCAAACGATGACGTCGTGCGCGAGTCTTGTCTTCGAGGTGGTCTTGCGTGCACACGGTCCGAACGTGGCACATCGGGGCCGCTCCAACGAAGGAGCCAAAAGTAATTTAGACCCCGAATCGAGGATCTGCAGAGGACAATGGAGAAACCTTCGTACCGAAATATTCGAGCTTAGTCAGATCGTGGATCCGAAGGTCCTGGCTCTAACCGCCTTGGCTTCGAGGCGAAGAGCCGGCCGAGGTCCCTCAGGTGGCGGGTTCCAATCTCGGCCGACGCGCAGGCAATCTGACGGGGGCCTGTTGCTGCAAGGCGCCGGGTAACCGAGCTTTCGGTTGCGTGTCAAAGGATCCCCGTGTGGTCCAAAGGAATCCTGGGTCCTCCGCTAGGGCGTGCCACGTGTCTTTCGTTGGTTTTTTTTTTTTTTTTTTTTTTTTTGTTGCTCCACTTTTTTGAGATTTTGTAGACCCTGAGATGGGGGGAATGACCTCAGGGTCTACAAGATGTCGGTTAATTACCAGCTCGCCTGCACTCTATCACTGCTTGCACTTTTTGTGCGATGTTTGGAAACACAATTTAAAACTACCTTGCGGGGTAAATTCATTTCTAAACGTCGGTGAAGGCAGTCTAAGAATAATAAAAAATAAAACAACAACACATTAAAGACAAACGCAGCCGCTGCCGGACTTTCGTGACCGCTGATTCGGCCTACGATGGGACCTGCGGACTTCGAAGCGTCGTGATGTGCCCTGGATCTGTCAGGTCACCCGCGCGCGCCTAAGTCGGGCAAGTCGCGTCCGAGAAAACTATGTTAGGGGTAGCCGACTCCACGCCTTATTTGCCCCTCGACCGCCGTTGCAGCGTCAAGAAGAACGAACCATTTCCGAAAGTGCGCGTTGTCTGCTGGCTCTCACGCGTCGCTTTGCAAATGATGCACAAAACTAAGGATGCCCCGATTTTTCGTCAAACCCAGACATTTGACTTGTTCGTGAAAGCTTCGAACTTTTAGCGAAACGGGACAAAGTTCGACTTGAAAATAAATAAAACGGTGCAAACATATCTACGCACCTTGCTGAAGTTAGACTTATATCCAGAGTTGCCCGATTTCTATCCAAATTGAGATTTAAAGAAAAAAAAGATGCAAAGTCGTTCATTTCTTGATTTATTAAATGTTTACCGGTGTATACAATACAAGAGACAAAACCACCTTCGTTTAGTGTTTTAGTTTGTTAATGAATGTGAAGCGATGAAACGGTATACTACCCACTAAATATGGCACTTTTGCTTCGCGAAATAACACTAGCTTGTTCTTTTTTTCTTTTTTTGCGCATGCGCACAGAAGTTGAATTTGATCCGAAATTTTAGTCCAACTTTGCGTTAAAAGTTCGAAGAAGTGGAACCTGGTTGACCCCGAACTTCGGCACGTTCGCGACATCCCTGCCCGGAACTTGACGACCGCGAATGTAGCCTAACGGGGTTTTCTGGAGGTTTTGCCGGACGGGCTAAGATAAAAACCGAAATCGACCAAACAAAAAAAAAAAACAATCCTGGTCCACGCTCGCTCGATAGAACGCAAATTTTGGCGGACTAGAATGGGAGCTGTGACGAACGCTCGCTTTGCCAAACGGTTCAGAGCGGTCCCGCGATGCAGTCCGAAGAACCTATACACCGTGGCCAACTTTGTGGGACATTCGGCGGAATAGAATGTTTCTTAGGAAATATAAAAATTCTAATTAATTTTCCTTCTGAAACACCCGGGCCATTAAAGTCCCGGAGAACACTGCCATCTTTTGTCAAGAAAGGCAGAAATTGATCCTTTTGTTAATGTGTCCTATGGGATTCAATGCAAAATATTTTGCGGAGCAGTGGAAGAAAAAATATACGCGTCCAAAAGTTGAGCTACCGCTTATTGATATTGTATGACTGTCATCTAAAATATTTCCCGGCAACATTACGATGTCCGTTGTTCGGTTGAAATTCTCAATTTAAACTGGATTCACCGAAGCATTAATGTCCAAGAAAGTTGCGGATGCGTTCAAGTTCATCTGGTTGTAAACCGTTAAAGTAACTCGTTAAAGCAACAGTTCATAAAAATGTAATAAGTGTCACCGCAATTACTTGCAATCGCATGTAGAATGACCATAGGCGCTGTTATCACCCACACGCCGTTGTTTCCATAAATGTATTTGAAATTCTGAATTCCCACCCGTTCTGTTTGACTCGCTGTAGTACGTGGAACAGGTTTCAAGGCAGTGCGAGACAGTGGCATTTGCCTCATGATTCCGTGTTTAGGGGTTTATATTTATTCGAGTTCGAAAGGGGGGGGGAAGGGGGGGGGGAGATTTTTGGGGTTCATTTTTTTTCACAGGTTCGACGTTTTTCCGTGTTTATTTCCTGTGTCAGACAAACAGTCGGTGTTTATCGGGTTTACGCCGAATAGTACAGGGGCGCGCTATCCCCTAACCTGAAGGTGCCTGACCCGATTTCTTTAAAGATGTTATGGGACCGGTAAGAAAGGAAACTAGATAAGGAATCCCGAAGAAACAAGGTACGAGGTATAACTAAAATCGTGACTTACCGATCCTAAGTTACGATCTTAATCGTAACTTACCGTATCGATACCAAAAAAATAAACATGATAAGGGGCGTGGTTCCCGAAGAAAGAAGTTACTAGGTGTAGTTGCAGTCGTAAACTAATTGTAATTTGGAAAACGAGTAACTGCATCAACTGAATTTCAGCTCGGACACTCGTAACTGTACCACGGTTGCTTTTCCTATGTTGCTCTTACAACTTAGCGAGTAACGCAGAACTCGAGACTTCCCTTCGGGAGTGAGGATTTTCTCGTTTCGTGTGTAGAGAGGATTAAGTAAAATACTTCCGTTATTTTTTGATGGATTAATAATATCAGCGGTATATAGTGATTTCTCTTCCCGTCATGTTGTAGTTGTGTCACGACTGCAAAGTGGCAACTGAACAAGACGGTGAGACAATAAACCTGATGATGAAGATGATGACGATGATACGGCTTTTCCCCTTGAAGCGGACGAGCTAAAACAAATTGTGCCCTAACCAAAACTGTAAAAGTGTCATAATAGTATTATCTTCAACTCTCGAGAATCTTTCACCACCACACGCTGCGAACACGCCCCGTTGTCCTTCGGGGAACGAGCGCCTTTTCTAGTGACGAGCGCCATCTGTTAGATTCTCCGCGAACTACAAATGAAGTGCAGCCGAACATTTTTCCGCCCATCGGAAAACACTTTGGCATTATGCAGTTGTATCGCTTTTCACTGCTTTTTATGCCCGCTACTACCAATACTTTAAAGAAAAACGTAAAAAAAAAAAAAAAGAGACTAGGTAAGCAGAAGGATATTTGCTGACAGTGTTGGTCGTGCGAGACAGTGCCCTCCCAAAGTGGCGCCAGTGGGAAGCGAGGGTCAGGACTCAAGAGCATACTTGATTAGTTATTCAATTACGGTAATGGAATTACTGTAATTTAATTACTTTTCTTGTTAATTTGTAATTGTAATTACTTACTTTTAGCCAAAAGGAATTGTAATTTAATTACTTTCTAGCGTCATTATTTGCAAAATTTCAGGCTCAATTACAACTACTTTTGCAAAACTTTGCGGCGCCGACGGAACCTCTCTGAAAGCCTCAGCGCTCGCACAAGCGGCCTAGCTCTCGATGAAACACTCGCACAACAATACGCTCAACATAAATAGCATCGTTTTTTTTTTTTTTTTTTTCTTACACTGCGGGTTAGAAGACAATCCCCTTTGGAGCCTACCTCAACGGCGCCGTGTTGCGCCGTCGTCTGTACGAGCAGAAAACATTAGAGTAAACATGGCAAAATATTGAAAGAAAAAAAAATTGAGCGTCAGCTTTCATTTGAGCTAAGATACTTAATCGTCTATGAAGTGGTGTTTCTTTTTTCCAGTTCTTTACGTCTTTCTTCCAGTACTGTATCATATTGGTATCTTCGTATTATTTTCAAGTTTATTTTCTGTTGGTGTTCCTTCGTATATTTTTTGAATAAGCATTTTGGTGACTGACCTCGCACCTGTGAATATTGTTACCAATGATTTGGGAGCCCCGCCCGATTCGGTTCTTATATATTTCTGAGCAATTATAACTTCAACTGAATGTAAAACGTTTACAATATTATGATGTTTGTATGTAAATGGGGTCGTAATAGCGCGTTTGGATTTTAATTTCCTATTAACACTCGTAAAATATTCATATATGACTAATTGTCACATTTTTATTTGCCTGACTAACAAAACTCTGTCAACCTAATTTTTTCTTTAGCGATCTGGCGTCTTCCCAAATTATTATTATTATTATTATTACTAATTTATTATTATTTCCAAAAATAATATAAGAACTTAATGATTGATTGCTTCAAACTGTCAAGTTCCATATGGATTTAATGAAATTCATAAAAGGAAAGTACAATACGTGGCATTTATGCAGCGATGCTCCTCCTCCAACATTGGGGCAAGGAATGAACAAATACGTTGCAGTCTACACAACTCGATTAAAGTTATATGGTTCAAGTCGGGTCGCTCTCAGAAATAAGCAATTGTAATTCAATTGCGTTACTTTCTAAAAATAATTTGTAATTGTAATTAATTACTTTTCACGTAGTATACTTCGTTTCAGCTTCGGTCCGAGCGCGGCCGATGTTATGAGCCGAAGGGCCAATCAAACACCTCAAAAAGCGCAGCGTCATGGCGTGCTCCCTGATCTTGATAGGACTAGCCGGCGGAGGAGCGCGCACAGAGACACGGCGAATACCGTCTGGTCCTATCAACTGCATGACGTTTTGCTTTTTGGGCTGTTTGATTGGCCCTTCTGCTCATAACATCGGCCGCGCTCGGACCGAAGCTGAAACGAAGTATAGTAATTGTAATTGTAGTTAAAATACTTTTGAAGCAAAGTAATTTTAATTATAACTAAATTGCATTTTAAAAGTAATTTACCCATGTATGCTTAGGAGACTTGTGTGCGCATACGCAGAGGCTCGCTGAGACAACTGTTCATGAACGCCAGAGTCATGCCGTGAAATTGTTTGCTCGCTTCTGTCAGCTACGCACTCGTTCAACATCAACAGTGCGGAACAGCAATGGAAAATTGGCTTCTTACTGAAGAACTCTGATGTAGCCTTGAAAAGTAAAGCGTGCCACGATCGAAGAGAGTTGGCCGGCTGCCAAGCACCTGCACCGCCGCCACACAAAGCACCTGGAAGAAAAAAGCAACGCAAGAAAAACATGCGGGAGAGAGGGCTCCGAGACGCTTCGAGAAGACTTGGTCAGCCGCGGAAGCTTCGAAGACAACAAGAAAACACTACAAAAGGAGGACCTGGGTGGCGAAGCTAGACCCGGCCTCGCGTACCTAGAGGGCTGAGACTGGAATTAGCGTCCGCTACAGTGATCATAAAACAGCAGTCTCCATAGGACGCGGTTTGATCGATGGATCGAAATACAGCTGTAAAATGTTCTTACTTTGTTCCAGCCATCGCGTGTATGTGTAGTCCATATAAGCGTTCTCATTCTGTTTTGCGTGTGTGTGTGTGTCCTTACTGTAAATCTTTAGGAAATGAAAACGTGCCATAGAAGCTGGAACCCACATACAGCGCGCTTCTTTTGTATCTGCTCGAGAGATTAGTCACTCGGTAGGTTATATTATGTTGCAACATAAGAACGTGTAGAAAGCCCGTTTGCTCGCCATGAAGGGGGGTTTCCTTCTCTCAAGCGTTCGTCGTGAGAATATGGAAAGGATAGAGAAGTGGACGGGATTTCCTGATATTCCTAACCTAACAAAATATACCAAGATGACGGTCGACACCGACTCGAAATGCTGAAATCACTCCGAGTTTAGGCACATCTTAGTTTGACAACCTCGGTCACGTCGATTTTTTTTAAAACCCTAATTGGATTACGTAACAAATCAGCGCCTGTCCTGTTTACTTCTTGTCCTTGTTTCTGTTGCGCTATTTTATATGTTTTAGTAACAAATCATGGTGATCGAAAAAAGTAATCTTCGCAAAGATTCTCCCGAAATCGTCGAAAACTAAAGCCGGGGTCACACTGCTTATAGACCTTTTTCGCAAGGGCGCCGCCATTTTAAATTGTCGTCACTTCCAGTATGGGCGAAAACATTGTTTTGCTTTCGCCACGCCAATAGAAGACATTCAGGATATAAGCGTAACCGTCACACATTCTCGTTTTGCCTCCCCTCTAATTTTCACGATTTGCAGATTGAAATGGTTTTAATATTTTTTCGTCGCCCATACCGGATATGCCTACTTGGCGGTCGGGGGCAAGACTAAGCGGAAAAGGTCTATAAGGAGTATTCACTGGGCGCCATATTTGTGGGTGATGTCTAGAGCGCACGCTCTGAACGAGCCCACGTTAATAGGCTGCTAAGACCGGCAATCTTGAGGGTGCGAAATGCACGTTGCGAAAGAACTGTGGAAGCTTGCCATCAGCTCGCGCTCAGCAGTCGCGTACACAGCTATGGCCGCCAATGAATACTTCCTATACATCGTACAAAAGTCAGTCTGCATACAGATGCAAACGCTCACCGCGAGATCCATGCCTCGCACGCCGCATGGCGGTGCGTTCAAGGGTAAAACTTGGCAGGCGGCATTCCAACTACAGTTATTTCGGTGACTCGTGTTGGCAGACAATCTGCAGTATGATGTGTGAGCAGTGTGACCCCGGCTTTAGTCTGTCTCAACGTGGTAGATATATACCGACGTTTCGCGAGTACGCGTACGTTTTTCGTGAATAGTGAAGCCCCTACGAAACGTGGACTGGAATTTTCATAATGGCACGTGATTGCTTTTACAGTATTTCCTACCAGCTTGTTCCGCCTTCGATCGTGCTTTGTTAAAAACATTTATGGTCGTTATATTTCTTTCCAATCAAAACCATTATTTCGTATTCCAGACAGCATGCAAGAGAAACGCCTAGCTTGGCCCAAGTTTGGCCATCCCAAAGGCTGAACTTCGTCTTGATAAGATTTAGCTCCAAGGCGTTAGTGCCAAAGTATTTTTCTTTGCCAAAGTGCCAGACGTGAACCAGGAACACCACGTATCAAGACAGCCATTAGTGAAGCCTAACTCTAGCGGTTGCTTGGCAATTTCGGGTCACACTACCCAGACTGGCAAAATGATATTAAACTTTGATTGTACGAGGGGCGATGAAGAAGTTCCGAGGGTTATTTTGTAGCATAAAAAGAGAGGGCAGCACGGTGATGCGCGCGGAGTAGTCGAAGGCATGGAACTTGCTGAGTCATAATGCAAAAGGGCGTCGTTCTGTGAACATTTGGAGCTGCGCTACACGAGTTTTTATGACCAGGTGCAGGAGCACAATGGCGATTTCACCATAGATCAAACCAGAGCGAGAGCCGAATAGCGATTCTCCTCGAAACTCGGCCAATCGAAAGCAGAGAGGTTCTGAAATGATTCAGCAAGCTCGTGTCATAAAGCAGTCAATTGTACGAAGTACCTTGAATGGCACTTGCGCTTCAAGCATTGCAGACATCGCTGGATGACGAAGGGAGGTGGGGCGACCTGGCTCCGACCTCTCTTTGTACGCTTCCGGTGATGCCCTGCCATTCTTGAAGCGCGAGTGCCACTCAAAGCACTTCGCTCAATTCACTGCTTTTTGACATAAGCTTGCTGATTCATTTCAAAGACTCTCGGTTTCCGATTGGCCGAGTTTGGCGGAGAATTGATATTCGCTCTTGCTCTGGTTCGGTCTATGGTGAAATCGCTATTGTGCTCGGGCACGTGGTCAAAGAACGACGCCCTTAGGTATAAAGAGGCGCAAGGGGCCCCTTCGGCTGCTGCGCCCGCATCGACAAACCGCTCTCTCTTTTTACGCTGTAATACCAGTCTCGGAACGTTTGGATCGTACCGCGTTCATTCACATTTTGGGACTTTTCAGGGCCCTGAATTGTCAGACGAAGATCAAATCTTGGCCGAAAAATGGTGCTACTTAGCCTGGATATAACCTCTTTCTATGCACGTTTCCAGCGCTCACCATACAAGCGAAAAATGCTGAGTCACCGGGATGCATGCGCGGCGTCTGATATATTGCACAAGAGAGCTACTGCGCATGCTCAGAAGATGTTCCACAACCCAGTAGAAAAAGAGGGCAGCGCGCGGAAGGCAATTGTTGGAATGGCTTCTACAGGGCGTTTGTTCTCAGCGCTATTGGGGCGTAAAAAAAAGAATCGTATAAATAAGCCAGTGAACAGGGTGCCACGGAACTGTGCATTGATCGTAGTCAGATTTTGTGAGTGTAGGCTTCTAGAGAAACATGCCAAAAAATAAAAACTTTTTTTTTATGCGCCAAAGGAAAAACATAATCCAACCGTCGGGTTGCCGCTGCAACTCACGTATGGTACAAGACGGTACAAAAACTTTGACATTTTTTTTTTTTAAGCATACATATACACTCGCAAAATTGGGGTACGAACAATGCACCCCCTAAAAACGTCTTTGTGAAAAGTTCCATGACACTCTGTTCACTGGATTATTTATACGAGCGGTCTAAAACAACCTGTAAAAAGCGCTTTTCTTTTTTCACGCAGTTGCTAGTTTAGGGAACGTGACACTCTTTCCGTGACCAAAAACAGCTGAAGTAGGTAATTTAAAACGACCGCGCTGCATTGAAGCATTTAATTCTATTAGCACCTAAGATAGTAGTTAATTAGCTACGGTGAAATTTTGAGGGTTACTGGTTCGCCTCAAAATTGATACAATGCGTTAATAGACACATATGAAGAAGTATCCCAAATCTCGTCCCGATATATATATATATATATATATATTTATTTTTTTTTTTTTTTTTTTTTTGTCGCGAAGTTTTGTATTTGGCGCGTTACATTAAATCCTGAGGAACCGCACGCCAACAGAACACACAAAAAAAAGCCAAATACTTTTTGTTGGACTTCCTGTTCCCCTTGCAAGTTACATAGCACATGACGTAACTCCACTGGAGCGCGCGATACATTTTTAACGTTGGTTTTGGCGTAACCATTATTTGCCGTTTCCTCAATAGCTATCGTGAATTTAGAGATGACGAACAGCATGCCGGGAAGAGTAATAAAGTCCGTGTATTCCGAAAATATGTCGAGCTTGGGTAGCTCGAAAAACCTCCGGAGCTTCTCTCAATAGAAACGGTGCTGCCATCTATGGACAGACGCGAAGTACTAGTCGAATGCGACGTTTAGGTTCACGGAGGCGCCAGTGTGTCCACGCTAAGCGGCGGCCCCAACGGGACGTGTTCCAATAGCCGTCATAAAAACGACCTCCGTTTAAAATAACCCAAGTGAGAGGAGAGTGGTGGCCAGACCAAAAAAAGAAACAAAAAATATTCGAGGCAGACCACCACGCCGGACTTTCGAGGAAGTAGCGTGGTGCTTCCCCGCGTTTTGATTGGTGGTTCCTTAGAGTAGTCCGTTAAGGCTCGGGAGAGGGGGTAGAGAAGAGTCAGGTAGGCTCGCTTTGGAGCAGGTAGAGGGTATAGGGGGAGGGTGGAATTCGGGGGGGGAAGGGAGGAAGGGGGGTCAGTGGCCGAAACTGACCCATTTTGAGGCCAGGTGCCTCGCTTGATTTCTCTCGGTTCGTTAGGTGAAGTGGAGAGGAGGTCCTCCGTTGTCGTTTTCTACCACCACCACCGCGCGGCGCTGCTATGTTCTGGCGTTGTTGTTGTTACGCCTTACTGCGGTGCTTGTTTCTTGTTTTGTTCTTGCTCGTACCCCTCGCGTGTGTCTGTTTATAAACCCGGGACGGTTTTGCTTTAATGGCCACCTCCTCCTCGCACTTGTAAGAGAGAGAAAGGAAAGAGTGCCAGAATTTCAAACTGCTCACTTAGTGCTTTTCTTTTTTTACGCCGGTTTGTGTGGCAGGTGTGGTCTCCGGTTAGTGTGAACGGCGATCCACAGGTGGGGACGCAAGAAAACGTCCCAGGCCGGCCGCTCGCGCGTATGGATTGTTCTGCCGCACTCTGGTCTGGTAATGGAATGGTCGTTATTTTGCAATGCTCAATGGGAATGGAACTGTACCCGTTGTCAGATCGAGCAAACACCGGATGTCGCGCATTGTTCGTACGCTGCGCTAAGTAGTTCTTTTAAAGATTTCGTTGTCGGGGTAAGAAACGACGCTTTCAGCGTTCGAGATATGTGGGCTTCGGTGAAATAACATATACGTAGCTAATTTGAAATGTACCTACATATAGCTTAATTCGACATATGAAGGGGGAAATTATTAGTAGTGGTTTGCGGGGTGCCGGACTCTTTGCTGCGGTTCTTGGTGTAAATACGAGTATACCTGACTCAAAGATCTAATATAAGCACGACTAAACGCAAACTTTGGTCGCGTCAGTTCTGACTATCTTTTGAGCGTTCTATAAAAAGTTTCGAATCTAAACACATTGGAATTCATTAAGGGGTCCCATCGCGTGTTATTCAAACGACAATTTTGACAAAGCTGTTCTATCAAACTTGAAAGTGGCGATATGTCATCGCTATGTTGCTTCATCGCTGAATTTCATTGCTGCCTTGCTCCTTAAGCCCGGCACAGAGTAGCCAACGCGAATGGGAACTGACGATCATGCTGACGTTCCCGTCTTTGCTACGCCAATCTCTCTCTTTCTGCCTTTCTGGATTGCAAGAGCGTCCCCCAAGCAGGTTTCATAATCACGCCGAACTGTTCCGGAACTTCCATTCTCGCGCATCATTCAAACAACAATGACGCAATCAAACCACGGCGTAGCCACAGTCGCATTGTAGTTACCCAGTTTTACTCAATTTGGCGTCTTCCTTTTGTACGGTCCTATTTCATGCTAAAATACTTTATGACAGTTTTTTTTTTTATTGCTCATTCCCGTAAACGTTCTAGAAGGAGCCAACAGTATTGACAAATAAAATAAAAACATCTGCGAACCAGGCTAAGTCCGAGATAAGTTCACGCATCGCTGATTTGGACATGACTTGCATGAACCACCCAGCCTAACTTAGAGAGACACCTCATTGTTTTAATAACATGCACATATTTCACTCTTTAATCAAACGGGCAAGAGAGACACAGACACCACGTTGTCCCCACGAACGAACAGCTGATTGACGTGCCTCTTGCGAGGCGTCAGAACTTGCCGAGCACGTCTTCTCTCCCGGCTTGTCCTCTTCGCCTTAGTGCCACGGCTCGAGTCCAGAGGAACCTGAGGTTCTGGCTCAGTGGCACCGATGGCCGCTTCGGCGTCCCCGGTGACCTCGAGGCGACGCCTCGGGTCTTCTAGTACTGAAGACCCTTTAGCGTCCTCTCCAATTTCCGTGCAGGACAACTCACGGCTAGGGTCGGGTCCAGGGTCGAGGCTCTGGATAGAAGCCCTCCTGAGGAGGCTGGACGAACGAAGGTCACGAAGACCTGCCGGTTCTCCGACGACCGCAGGCGTTAACGCCTCGTTTTCGTCCAGAGGCACAGGAGTCGCCTCCGACGAAGATCGGACGTTCCCACGACCTAGGTCGACGCCTTGCAAGCGGAGTCGCGTCTCCTCGACGCCTTCACCAGATACATGTTGACTCGAGGACGCGCCGTCCGTCGAATTGAGCTCTGGACCGGAAGGCGTCTCCTTGGGCGGGTCTTTGTCTGTCTCAAGACTTAATGGTTCTAATGTTTGAGGTCTAAGAGACAGTCTTGTGGGGTGTTCTTCTTCCATAGGGTAAGGGGACGGAACGGAAGGACCAACATTGTGCGATGGACGTCGGGGGTCCTTGAGGGGTGACGTCGGATCGTCGGGTTCCCGGGGCAGTTGTTCTTCGGGTACGACGCTCGTTCGGCGACGCGGCTTCTTTTTTGTCTTGGTCCTGGTGAACTTTTGTTCTTGCCGCTTTACTTCGATCTCCTGCAGTTTCCAAGAGGCGGCGTCGGCGTCTGCGATGACTAGAGCTGTCGGACTGGGAGGCGACCCCGTGGGGGTCGCCGAAGACGACCTTGTCTTGTGCTTGAGCGGTGCCGACGTCGTCGTGGATGTCTTTGCTCCAACCCTTGGGAGAAATAAAGGCAGCCGAGTCAAGTGAAATGCAATCGCATCAAGTCGCACCAAAAACGCGCCCGATTTTTTCATACGTATTGACAGCCTGCGAAGTTGGCGGCCTGTGGCACGTTGTACAACTTCCTGGAGTGCCTCTCTAACCGATCTGTTTACCACGTCTTTATTCGGTTTGATCAGTTTCCACCTGGTGACGTCACAACCGTATAATCCTACAGCACCGTTAACACTATTAGAGTTCCGCAGTCTTTTGGAGATGCTGACAGTCTAGCAACCACGGCTGGGGGTTTGGCAAACTGGAAATGGTACGTTTCCTCCGCCATCTTGCGTTGTTGACGTATAAGAAACTACGACCGTCTGTCGATTAGAGCAGCCATACCGGGACAATTACCCAGGTTAACCTCCTTGTCTGTATGAACCGGTGGTCGGGTCTGTAACGCCGCTCGGAGCACGTAAAGCGAAAGTTCGCGCTGGAGAACCCAGGGATGCCCGTTTGTATCTCGATGAGCATTGAACCGGCGTGCGGTCATGTACCACTATACTGCGTGATGCACGTTTAAAACCTCAGTCTAGCATCGCCAGTGCATTGACACCAGACGCCCACTGCTGACCTTCCGCCGCCTAAACAAACCGATAACGGATATTACTTTCCAGTAAGATCTTGAACCGATTTTAGTTAAGGTAACGAGACGAGACCGTTATCCTACGCGTAGACTGGGTGTAGGGATGGCCAGAGCTACTTTAGAAGCGATCAGGACGACAATACTATAGAGGTGCAGGGAACGGTCGACAGATGCGCAACACATGTACCAGTTCTGCAACCAAGCAACCCGGAAATAATGGGCGGCCCACGCAGTGCCCGCCGTTGTTTTTGATCGACGAAGGTCGTGCGAGGACGGACACCTGCAGCGCGACACACGGTTCAGAGTTTGTTGAACCTCGCTCTCGTCGCGTCAATTTTTAGGGTGTGCCCGGTGCCGCGCAGTGCCTGTTCAATGTTTTGGGGTCTTTCCCCGTGAATGGAGGCTCTGCTACTCGAAACGACACTGAAAACGAGCGGCTATCCGGTGCCTTCGCAAGGCTAGACTGCGCAAACAGTGTGAGCATTAATAACCCTTTTTTTATTTTTTACGACCACACCTGGTTAACGGTTGTATAGTTCACGAGATTGTACCAAAGAGGACCAAGCCGTAGGTTCCCCGCTCTATGCTGATTGGTTCCTAGCTAAGACCACGACGTGTGTAGCGTAAAATTGCTCCATTTCGAAAGCTAACAAAAATAACCGGCAGAGGAAGAGGTAAGAGAACAAGCGATAACCTACAAGCGATAGATCTCAACTTGCGCGGCACACGGATCCTACGAATAAAGTAATATTAACCTCACTGCGAGGGATCGTACACGCACGATATACAAGCTGCCTACACGATACTCTGAAGTGTGCAATTTGCTGTGCTAAAATTTATTCTGGATTAGTACAAACAAAACGTTCAGCCTCCCACTCTGGTAAAGGAGGAAGAGCAGTGGAGCTGTACTATGTACCGCCGTCACTCATAGATGGCGGTAGCTGTCCAGAGTGTTGTGTCCGGATTTCTTTGTCCACGGACACAAAACTGGGGAAACTAGCCCTTAAGAGGTCCGCAGTAAAAAGGAGCAGGGTTTAGGAACTTGAAAATCAATGGTAGCTGGTTACACACATTTTTTTTTAAATTTTATTTGGGGCCATTACGAGCCACTCATAAACGATCTTGCCGCTCGACAATCGATGCCTCAGCGCAGATGACCTGCCCCTTTTGCTCCTTTTCACTTCGGCCACTTCTCTCGTCACTGTAGTCAAACAGGAGATTTCGCAGCCTCGGCAGACATATCTGTGCTCTTGTCACCGAAATAGGCCTCACGTGTGTACCTCAATACCGGTTTCGGTGGCTGGGCATCTCAAAGTTGTCGTTTTCTTTCTCGAATGTATGCAAGGGAAAGTCGGCATGCCCAAGGATGGCGTCTGGTGTACCTGCTGCAGCTGGGCGATTCCGCCAGAGCGGTACGAGTGCAAATGCGGAATCCTTAACGTGCATCACCTACTACTGATCAGTCGCACAGGGGAAAGGAAGTCGGCGATAGCATTTTTTTAAGGAAAACAAACAAAAAGAAAAACGAAATTGGCAAAGAGGGATCCATTTAATTTGTTTAGAAGGCTATAAACAGTCGTTTCGGGAGTGAAAAAAGTTTTATTAGCCTCCCCGCTAAATTTAGCGGAGATACTCAATTGTTATTTAGGTCATGTGACGTCAATTACCCCGCTATATATTGCTGGGGAACTAAATTTCTGTATAAATATCCTGACGTCAATTTCCCTACTAAATATAGCCCAAAAACTTAATTGATATCTAGGTCATCTGACGTCAATTTTCTCGCCAAGTTTAACGGGGAACTGCACGTACGGACGGACGGATAAAGTTTTGGAAATAGAGGGTACCATTAAAAAGCATTCCATGCTTTGAAAGTACCCAGCAGCGAGTCAGCGTCTTGCGGAGAGGCCGTCTCACCTTTTTCGACCGCTCGGAGGCGTCCCCGGCGGCGTGCGAGACGTTTTTTTGCTCGGCCTGCTCCCGGACTTCATCGACCGGCTGGTCTTGACCTCGGACGCCCAGCTCGGTAACTTCAGTTCGTACTTCATGATTTCGTCCATCCTTGCGGCTCCCTGGTACCTGCGCGTCTGGTACGCCTCCGGAAGGAGGGACTGCATCTGGCGGGCGGATGCCAGTAATGCGGTTAGCACCGACGATGACGGTAACGATGATGATGGTGATGATGCCGATGTCTCATCCTTCGCTCCTGTCCTCTTCTCGAGTTCCTCGGCTAACAACACGTTCTCTGTCGCTGATGTCTGTTGGCTGGACTCTACCTGACTGCACTTGGCTCGAGGTACCGTTGACGTCGACGAGTGAGTAGCCTCTTCCAAGCGCTCGCTGCGACCTGCCTGAGAAGACTCGACAACCATGGCGGTAGTGGGTTCCACCACTTCCATCGCTGCGGCCTCCTTGTTCTTCAACCTCAGCGTCGACAGGTCTTCAAGTTGGATCGCTTGCATCATTTCCTGAAAGCCAGAAGTGGCCACCGTTGATATCCTTGAGGACTCCATCGGTTCATATGTTCTCCCCACTTCCCCGGAGTCTTCACGGGGACTCCGGCGTCCTTCTTGGGGTTCCTTCGGAAGTGGTTCAGGAAGACCTTCAACTGGATCTTTTTGGCACTTTTCTTGATCCTCTCGCTCTCCCCTTCCACCTTCTTCTGGAGGCCCTTCTCGATGCTCTTGTGGCTGTCCCTCTTGGCGTTCTTCTTGTCGTCCCTGCTGAAGTCGTCGGTCTTCCGACCCTACACTGTCCGTTTTCTCCTGTCCCTCTCCCTCTGAGCCTGAAGACCTGCCGGGAGACCCTGGAGGCGTGCGAGGTCCTCGCCGCACGACCGGGTGCAGAATAGGCGTCTTGATGGACGCCGGCAGCAGAAGTACTTCGTCCACGTCGGCCATGGCCAGGTTCATGTGGCGGTCGTAGGCGTGCAGAAAGCCCGTAAGGATGCTCCGCACCTGGCTGTGGTTACGGGTCCACACCTGCGTGGAATTGGATGATGAACGAGTCGGAAGACGTGCTTGCGATGACGTGTACATGCACAGCTACCTCCCAACTTTGGAGGACCTTGCATCGCCGGCGTAGTAAGGTGCCTCGTTTCAAAACATACCCTAAATATTAAAGCTTTAGTGCTGAATTTTATGCGTTAGCTGCCCAAGACCAGCAGTTAGACACGAATTCTGCGTGCGCGTTCAGCTGAAGCACCAGTTCAATAGGGGAGGGGGCGAGGGGGGCGGTTGCCCCCTCCCCATCCTCACTTTTTTTTTATTATTTGTTTGAAACATTGCGGGACTACACTCACGAAGTCAACTGGAAGTGGCCAGTATACATTGACTTCGACGATAAACACCAGCCACACCTCACGAATCATTTCAAAGTCCTGTATTTTTTTTTTTTTTTTTTTAGAGGAGAATGTTTGTTGTCGCCATGAGGTCTTTTTACTGCAATAGCAGTTAGTGTGACACTTCGCAAGTTCCGTGCCGTCGACTGCGCTTCATATCAATGCGGGCCATTTTCGGCACCCTGCTAAAAGATTCCACATTGACGTCACGCCACGCATCACGTCACCTAAACGATAATAATCCCTCGAGAAGGGGACAGGGGGGGGGGGGGGGGGGGGGGGGACAAAGGACAAACACAAATCTCCAAACAGAGTTACGTGATTGGTACGCGCTGAAAAAAATCCATCTCGTCCTGGTATCGAACCGGGGACCTTTCTATTTCTAGTGGAGCGCTCTACCGACTGAGCCAACCAGGAGTTAGACGTCAGCAGAGGAAACGTGTTTTATCAGCTGCCACCAATCTAACACCAACAAGGGGAACGGCCAGCAATTTAGGGTTACGATGTTAATGCAATTAATGCAAAGTTCAGGGCGAGCTGGACAGAATAAACGATCGCTTATTCTGTCGAGCTCGCCTGCAACTCCGCATTATTTGCATTAACACGTCACCCGTTACCTGGCGTCAGGTGCTACTATGAAGTGACACTGTCATGACAAGTCACGTTGCACAGTGATGCCACGCGACTCAATGACGTCAAGATGACACCGTGAGCCACGTGATGTCATGACGTCACGTGACATTTAGACTTCATGTGACAATACGTCGTCACGTCACAACATGACGGCACGTAGAAACATAAATAGGAGACTGATGATAATGGAAAGAAGAAAAACAAAGCGTTTTCGCTAATTATGTCAGATAGGTCATCGGGCGATAAAACGAATAGAGCTAGGTTGGTGTTACAGGAAAGCTGAAAAGATTTTTGAAAAAAAGAAAAACGAGTTAGAGGCGAATTCTAGAGTATTTTTATCCCGTGAATCTGACTATCACGTTCGTTTTCCCCGAAGATGTAACTAAACGCGAGAAAACACAAACAAACCTCTGACCATCCTTTTCGTCATAAAATTATCTTTCGGCCGCGAAGCCCGTGCCGCTCGTGTGGTCAACGCGTGCAGTTGCAAGCGTTGCCAGGTATATTCCAACCGCATTGACACCAGTCGTGGCGTCTTTTCCTGACTTTTTTTTTTTTTTTTTTAAATAGCGAGAGTGCGCGTGCTTAGCGCTTTGATAGGCGCGGAAGATGCGCGAGAGTGTAGATTCCGAAAACTCCTTTTATGACGTCACGCTCCAACAAGGAAAGGCTTTCGCGGTACTCGGAAAATGATTTTCTGCAGCCTCCTTGCACCAAATTGAAAACTGATCTCGATATTCGTGATCCTGGAGGTCAAATGAAGACGATTTAAGTGTTTTTTTACTCAAATACACAGCCGCTTCAGCTTCCGTTTAAAGGCCGACGAACAGACTCGAGCTTCTGCGAGGCAGAAGATCCTCCTCACCATGGGGGAGGAGGAAACAGGCAACGGTAGAAAGGGTAGAAAGGGGGAGAGAAGGAAGCGAGGAAAAAGTGGAAAGCGCGAACTGGTCGTCGGTCTTTAAAAACCACGGGCGAAGTTTGAAACTTGGGAGTGCGATGTTTGAAGGGTTCCTCAGCGACCACAAGGCGTTCTTAGTTTGTGTCCAGTAACATTGCATAAGACGTTCGGGCAGCCATACGAACGACAGGGAACGGTTCGTGCATACACATGCAGTTTCGTCGTTCCTTTGATTTCAAACTTGGGCGCGCGAGTTTCGAAGTGTTCTTCAATTACCACAAGGCAGTCCTAGTTTGTGTCCAATACCATTGTTCCAGGGGCTCACAAAATCATCTCTACTTAATACACCCTCGTTGGTTCCAAAACGCTACGGAATTTTCGCCCGCAATCTGACGGAGGCTTATTGCGGAGAAGGCGCCGTGTAACCGAGCTTTCGGTTGCACGTCAAAAGATCCCCAGGTGGTCCAAATTAATTCTCAGCCCTCCGCTGGGGCGTGCCAGATGCCCGTCGTTCGTTTGGCACGTAAAACGCCCAAATTTGACTTTCTTTGGAATTTTCGTCCGGTGTGTTACTCGGTTTAAATACGAAACGCCTATGCGAACTCTATGGTGCGCGCTCGCACCTTTACCGTCCATTCAGTCCATCTGCTCCGAAATGACACTTCAGGGGCTCCGACATCACGCCTCAGCTATCGCAGTGTTTTACCCTACGGCTAGCGTAAGTGTTTACCAGAGGCGGCGGTGATGGCCGCCATCATCTCCTGGAGGGAGGTTTGTGTTATTCACCATTTTTTTATTAAACAGTGTGACCGATCAAAACTCACTGTGTAAATAAAAGCCATAATTTCCTAGATTTGCTTTTACAGAGCAGCATTTAGGCGCCCGTCTCCGCGTATAGACATTTTCTCCTCTACTCTATCCCCAGTCACCTAATAGGCATATCGGTATGGGCGACGAAAAAAATAATAAAACGCTTCAACCTAGAAAAAAAAAAATAGAGGGGAGAGCAAAACGAGAATGGGTGACGGTTACGCTTAAATCCTAAATGTCTTTGATTGGCGTGGCGACGACAAAACAATGTTCTCGCCCATACTGGAAGTGACGACAATTCAAGATGGCGGCGCCCTTGTGAAAAAGGTCTGTAGCGGCGTCGGCATCGCCGTCGGCGTAACCGCGCGCGTTGCATTATGGGACGTCACAGTATCCCCGCTAAATTTAACGAGGAAACTGAATTGGTGTTGAAGGCCATGTGACGACAGTTTTTACCGCTAAATTTAGCGGGGAAACTGAATGCGCAGTGTTGCATCATGGGACGTCACAGCCTACACACCAATTCAGTTTCCCCGCTAAATTTAGCGGGGAATTGAAATTGGTGTTGAGGTCACGTGACGTTAATTTTTCCGCCTAAATCTAGCGGAGAACCTGAATTTTTTCATAGATTACGTGCACGAGGTCATCCGACGTCATCTTCCCCGCTACATTTAGTGGGGAAATTGAATTGGTGTTGAGGTCATGTGGCGTCAATTTTCCAGCTAATTTAGCGAGAGAAGCTGTGGGAGGAGAGGAGGGTATGGAGGGAGGAGGGGAGGACACGGAGGTGGAGGGTGGAGAACCAGTCTGTGAGGAGAGTGATCTATTATATAATATATATACTATATATATATATATATATAGTATATATATATATATATATATATATATAAATATAATATATATATATATATTTCTTTTTTAAATTGTTTAGCCCGATATATGGCAAATTTGAAATATCTCAAGAGCTGCGCTTTAATTTCGCATTACAGAGATTTGTAAACATTTTTGTTTTTCATTTTTAAGGAAAAAAAACTTTCCTCTGGAACCCTTGTCTGGGACCGCCACTGCTTCCGGCCAAACGCTGAGGCAGTACCCGTGCCCCAATCGGTTGGTGAAACTGCAATTCAGGACTACGGTCTTGTTACGCATACCCGGTTTCACCTGACGATGGACCCGCGCCGGCCGTGTGACGGTGTGAGTGCCACGCGATTTTCGGAGGGGTGCAGCGACGGGCGCGGCTACCTAGGTGCTGGGGATTGGCTGGGCGTTCTCACCTTGATCCTGGTCCTGTCCCGCACCGCCCTAAAGAGCAGTTGAAGGGGCCCTTGTTATGGAACGAGTCTTCCGCCATGATGGTGAGCACGGTCGGCGGCTCCTTGCGACGGCGGCCTTTCTCCTTCGACTCCGGGGGCTGTCGCGGGAGAGGAGCAGTCGTTTAGGCTCTCCTTCTACGCATATACGACTCCTTGAAAATATTGTATACAAATTGTAATATCGTGGATGGATGGATACCGCCGAACCCTTTTAACTGGCGGTGTTTGCGCCCACCTGGCGTTAAATCCCGAATGAACGCCCTCCCACTGGAAAGAGATAAAAAAAGGGAAAATATGGCCCTGGGCGATCTTTCGGGGCTGGGCGTTCTGTGGGGATTTTACAATAGAAATGCGAAGAAGCCGGCTAGATAAAGAACAAACGTAGTTTCCTCTGGCATACAATTAGAAAAATATAAATGTATCTTAATCATGCATATGAGGTAAGGATACAGAATATGCAGCGTGTTTTGAGCTGCTCTGGGTGTTTGTTTCGGAGCTTCTCTAAGCACGTTAGTCTCGCTGAATTGAGCTAAATTTAGCTCAATAGACCCTTTTCCAATGCCAGTCTACCCACCGTGTGCAGAGCAAGCCCAACGCTCTAATGGCCGGCATAACAAACTTATATTCTTCACACCAGGAAAAGCGAACCTTCTTGGAAAGCGGAAGAAATCCCTCGAAATTAGTTCTAAAATGTTAGTCCTTTGATGCACGAAGTAGAGAGTGCTTGATTTAGATGATCTTTCCCCCCTGTCACCGCCATTTGTGCGGTAATATTGGAGCTTCTGAGACAGCCACAATATGGCTCTTAGGCAGCATTCACAATGGCGACTGAATGGTATCCGCAAAGCGGTTGCGAATGCGGTTGCTCAGAGCTGCAATAAAAATGCATGCGCAGATGATAATGAAAACGAGCAGATCAGCTTCGCGGTTCCAATTCAAACGCTAGTGTGACTAGAGTCTCACTCTTCGAAAGGGTCTGTGGACCTTTTCACCCTCCGTCCCGTGGGTGCTGCCATCTTGAATCACGTGACGCGGCCGCCATAAGGTGGCTTCGAGTCGTCGCTCTCCTCTCTCACCTCCGCGCCCTGGCGAAGGCGTTGTATTCGTGTTTTTCGTCGCGTTTTACCCCGATTTTTGCCTTGCTTTGTGCAGTGTCGTCTCATACTTATTTTTACTACCCAACGGTAGCCATCATTATGCCCACAACTTCTGCTTTTTTGATTTTATCTTGACTATTTTTTCCCGTCGCGTACCGGATACGTGTGAGGAAAAAAAAAATCAGCGTTAGCACTGGCGCAGATTGAGTATATATACAGAGTTTTCCCGAGAGGCGTCCGAGCATAAAATGAACCGCATATATCAGTCAATAAAGTGAGTGCAATGGAACTCTTCACAAAGGAGCAGCATTTGTCATACTGAAATTTTGCGAGTATAGGTTCCCAGAAACCAAAACGAGAAAGAAACAACGCTATATCTCTATGCACGGGGAAATTCTACATTAAATTAACCAAGTTACACTTTTGCTCTACGCGTTTTTGGGGTATGTTTTTAATGAAACTAGCCCTGAACTGATTCTGTGTAAAAACAAACATATTCTGGGTGCTTTACCAACAAAGCGCGACAACGGATCTTTCAAAGAGCCTAGATATAGGAGAGGAAGCAACGCAAACCATGGACGGATCTTGCACAGCCGGGTCGTAAGTGCGCATGCGTTGCGCTGTCGCGGGGCGACGAGGGAAGGCGCACAGCGAGGCGGAGTGCTGGGCGGAGACGCTTGCCAAACGAACAACGTTTTTGACTCCTCTTCGCTACTCTTACTGCTACCCGCTGCTCATACGCCACGTGACCCCCCTCGAGCAGTTGGGAACACTCTTTAATCTAGGCCACACTAGACCTTGATTGAATGGAAAACAGCTGAACACCTAAGTCGGCGGCGGTTTGCGCACTTAGCATCGCACAGATGTATCGCTTTTCGATGCGTTTTATACCTCATGCTACCGAGACTCGAAAAAAAACGTTAAAATAAATAAAATAAAATATATATATATATAACGAAATACGCGCAAAGATAGGGGTTCACAGTTTTGGTCGTGCGGGACGGTGCCCTCCGAAAATGGCGACAGCAGGAAGCATGGGGAGGGGAGAGGGTGTACGCATGCGCAGAGGCTTACTGGCAAAGCGTTCATTGTTACCGGTGGGCACACCAGTCATTTCGGACGGAGTTTGTTTGAGCGCCCACTCCTCCAGATCTCATCTCACTACGGCCTCAAACTGACGGCTGACAAGGCAAATATATATATACTATATAGTATTTGTTTTAAAAAATAAAAAGATAATGCAAGGATACGTTCGAGCTGGTTAAGAACTGACATTTCTGTCAGTTATTTGTGCGTTTGGACATTCGGGTTGTCCCTGACTTCTGTTTACCCACTCTCCAAATTTTTAAAAATGGCAGATTTTCTTTTTTACCAAACTTTGTTTAGGTTAAGGTCACATAAAAAGAAAATGTCCCAAAAGAGATGAACGCAAAATTCTAACACGAAAAACTTTGCGGAAAAGTTTTCCCCGCTAAATTTAGCGAAGAACTTCAATTGGAGTATATAATTCGCTATTGTTTCGTTGTTGTCGCCCTAGTTTTGCCAAGAGAGACGGCAGACCAGGCCTATTCAAGCCAACTTTTGGCTTTTTGTCTGCGTCCCGGCGTCCGCACTTGTATGGATGCAAATTGATTGACTGATTGGTTAGAAACCAGCTCAGTTTATAAACCAGCTCAGTTTATCCTGACTCCAAGCACACAAAAAGAGCTTTAAAAAAAAAAACGCAAGCCTCAAAACATGCTGCACATTCCCGTTCCTCCCGACCTGATACGTTTGTTTTATTTATTTCATTTTCCTCAAGGCCAGAGGCCTTGAGGGAAAAAGACACGTTTACTTTTTTTTGTCTCCATTTTTTTTTTTTTTTTTTCTACAAGAGCTGTTTCTACAAGAGCGGGAGATGTGCACCCACTCGGTTGCGATTCGCGAACAGGCGCCTCCGTTACACGGATCTTTTTTTTTTTTTTTTGTAGTAAGTATCGGGTGTTATAAATTAAAGGGATCGCTGTAAAGCGACCGTAAAAACCGGCGCCTGCAAGTAGAAGCAAAAATTTTAATCAAGATGTATTTTAGTGGTGGATTTAACCTCGAATTATTTGAAGCAGCAGCACCGTTCCTGTCATAAATGAGAACATCAGTGACATATTCGAGCGGCGAGGTCGACGCAGACGACAGACACCCCCCCACCCCACCCCCCCCCCCCCCCCCCCCCCCCCCCCCCCCCAAAAAAAGTCGGGCTTGTGGCGCCGCCGCCCGACGGAGGCGGAGCAAGCACTCGTGAAGAAAGCCGAGAAAGTTGTCCTCGCTTGCTGCTCCTCTCGGGAGATGGCACCACAAGGTACGGCCTTCGGCGACTCTGTCGTTTCCGTCGAAGCCCGGCGTTAAAAATGTTAAGGATGCGTTTTAATTGTTTCACAGGAACGGAGCCGCGCCTTTCACATCGCAAAACAAAATTAAAAAAAAAAAAAAAAAAAAAATATGCAGCTTTTGATGATAATTTTTAGTTCTCGAAGTGTAGGTGCCGATTTTTTCCCGACTTATTTCGCAACCGGACCTTTCTAAGTGCAGTTTCCCCCAATTCGAAATGTCCTTACCTACTACTTTAGAAAGATATCCTTAATAGTTTGTGTATTACGTCTGAATTACAAACACGGTCTAGGTAGCGGAAGCTGTCCCCGCACGCGTTCACCCATCCCTCCGGGTGTATATGGCATGCCGTCCGTGTTTTTCGTGTTCATCGCCTTAGTAAGGCGAGACTTTAGAGAAGCACCATCTCGCTACATGACCCTGTCATTTATAAACACGCTTGTTAAGTTACAGGTGCATTGAGCGTTCCGCGTGCACAGTAGCCCTTTGTTTTTTTTGTTTTTTTTTTTTAATTTTACCGGGATATGTTTAGCCGTTAGGGTTTCATAAAAACAAGGTCCCCCAAGGAATCCCGACGCAAAAGTGTAACACGCAATTTGCCCGCTAAATTCGACGAGAAAATCAGAAGTGCGCAAAACAACGCAACAATTCAACTTTACTACTAATGAGAGTTCCCACTACATTTTGGGTTTATATAATAAAATAAGACAATAAAGATGAAAAGACCCAGCTCAAGACGCGCGATCTAACCGTTCGGACGCTCGGTCCCCTTCCCCTGTTCGGATAAGTGCCAAAAAAAGACCTTCGGAAACAACAACACGCTGCACGTATGATGTGTCCCTCGATTTTTTTCCTTAGGATTAAGATTGGATTTAAATATTTTTTTTTTTTAACGCCAAAACAGCTACGCAGGCATCGTTACGCCAGCGCCTTCGTGCAACGCCAGAGATATGCGTAGAGCGAAGT